CGCCCGACGACTGCCCCAGGCTCGCCGTGGCCGGCCCGTAGGGATGGTCTGACGTATCCGGTGGATCGTGACTCTGTGTTTCATCTCTTTGGCCAGTGTCGAAAGCCTAAAACCCCGGCACACTTTTTCCCGAACGACGGAGGTGTTGTACTCTCACTGATGGCTGAGAAAGGTCCGGTCTCCTTGGGACGGCTGAGGCCCGGGAAAGGCCACCCAGCAGTTCGGGGACGGAGCCAGAGGACACGTTACTGACGGGGACAAAGCCTGGGGGTCAGGGGTCATGCTCTTTCAGACACCATCGTTCAATAAACCCGCAGGGAGGGAGGGCACATTCCGGGTAGACATCCAGCAGAAGGCGTGTGCCCTTTCACACCTTCTGACACGTCCTGGCAGGCACAAGCGAGCAGTTAATGCCCCCCAACTGTGGGCCCAAAGGTAGGAGGTTCGAGTCCCCCCAGAGGCGCCGTGGAAGACAGGTCTGCCCATTGGAAACCCACAGGGCCCAGTGGCTCAGGTGGCCCTGGTTTGGGGCTGACTCAGCAGTAGCTGAGCTGGGTAACTCCTGGCTGAGCCAGCCCAGAGAGTGGCCTTCGAAACGGAGCTTTCGCCGCTCCTTGCAGGCCGAGTCCATGCAAGCGGGAACGAATCATCGGTTTTCCAGGTTGTTGGTTGTTGGTTGTATTTTTAAAAGGAGAAATTGAACTTGTCTATTTATTTTTAAGTGTTTGGAAAAATAATCCCAGTGATCTCTTTTCAGGATACTGGTTTTATTCACAGAAACTCTTAAACAAGCCATCTCCGCCTGGGGTGGGGGGCCTCACTCTCCCTTCAGAGATTCTCCTGAACTGGCTGGGTGCATCCTCCCCAGGCCTTCAGGTCTGTGTCGGGGAACCCAGTGGTCCCCCCAGAAACACAGTGTTCATCTCCTCCAAGGAATTTCTCGGGTTCTTCACGCCAGGTCATTCTGGTGGGAGCTCCTGCTGAAAATATGCCCTCCCTGCTCAGATTCGGACTCTGGGGTGGAAATGGGATTCCAGCAGGGAGTTGAACGGTTCAGAGGCCTGGGATTCTCCTTGCAGTCTGACAACAGGAGAGCCGTGAGCTCCATCAATTTTTCTGTGTGTGGGGGAACTCTTCCGTCACAGCATTCGAACAATGAACGATTTCTACCTATTAGCCCTTCAGTGCATCTAGCTGCTCACAGTACGAAAGGGGCTGTTAAGATCCGTCCAGTGGACTCAACGATGCTGCCAGCAAATGCTACCCGCCCCTCCGCTCCTTCCCGGCCTGCCTGTTTCTAAGAATTGGTCGTGAGTCAGATTCAGACCGTTGTGTGGCCCATGTCTGTCTTGGAAGCACAAAGAGCAGGAATGGCATCAGCATATCAGCCAGGGCCTGCAACCGCCTAACTGTCACAGCACCGGGTGTGCGTGTGAAAGCTCGCGTGCCTGGGGCCCGTCCCACAGCGGCAGATTTGCGGGCTAAGGCTTCCGTGGTGCATCTTGAGAGTGCAGAGACCCATCCAGCTGACACTGGGGTGCCGATCCCCATGTGCATTCACCTGTCCCAGCAGGGCTGTCCTGAGAGTGTGCCATCAACAGACATGAGGCCTTGTTTCTGACTTGAGTTCACCTACAGTGTTTCCTTCAGGAACGCTCGGCTCCGGCCGTGAGAGGCTGCTTGAGCGCTCGTCGCCCTGCAGAAACGTGGCCTCTCGTGGCACGTGTGCTTTGTGGAGGTGGGCTCTCCGTACCAACCGGATGGAATGGTCCAGGCTTGCCTGAAATTGAGGTGCAGGAAGTAGGGGATGGGGAGACAGTGGAAGCAAAGAGGAGCCTGGCTTCCCTGTGGGAGCTTTAGGGTTAGTGTCAGGAAGGTGCTGGGTCGATATCCAGCAGTCACCCCTGCAGTCCTGCCCTCCTTGTGCCTGGCACACCCGTGTCACCTGGGTGCCTCCCAAGAAGTGCCTTTCCAATCAGTTCTTTGTGAGCCGCTGAGTCTGAAAGGGGGGCAGCAGAAGCGGGGCAGAGCAGCCCTGCTGGCCGGACTTATACCCGCGCCCCAAGATAGGAGCCTGGCTTCCTTTTGATAGCTCATCACATTCAACGACCAACTGGTATTAGATCTCTGTGCCATTTCATGGTAGTGCCGGTGTTTTGGTGGGTTTGGGTTGTTGTGGTTGTTTTTCTGGGGGGTGTTGGTTAGCTGTTAAATCGAACAACACCTCCCTTTTTGGAGTTAAAAGATGCATGTTATAATCCATCCCTGCAGGTTCCCATGTCTCCCTGCCCTTTAGAAAGCTAAGTGTTCGCTGTGATCAGGGAATTGTTCCGGAGACCTGGTCGGAAGCCACAGTCCTTGCAGAAGGAACACAGCCAGTCCCAGTGTCTTGGGGAGACAATAGAGAGTTCACGGGGAGAGGGGACCGCCAGATCTGTTGCACAGCCTGGATCCTCCCACAGCTTCTGTCAGCATTCGCGGCAGGAACCATCCTCTGGATGCAAAGATCTGCCGCAGCCAGCCCTGATCTGGAGGACAGGGACGCACTGGACACCCATGGACCTTCAACCAGAGACCAACTTACAGTTGGGTCCCAGCAGAGCAAGTGGGCACGGTGCCCCGTGCACGCCCACCCCCCCAAAAAAAAACAACAACAACCTTTTTCCTGAGCATGGACGAGGAGGTGGGATTGCCAGGCACCCACACAGGTGAGGAGGGAGACTCGGTGATTCGGGAGATGGCTCCGTGCAGGGGGAGAAAACTGTCCCGCAGCTTCAAGCTGGGTTGGGCAGAGCCGTCTCGTGCACACGTGCCAAGTGGTTGCCTTTTCAGACCATTTCGACAGGAGCAGACAGGCCTCAGACACCGGGGGTTTGATCTCCCAACCTGCCCAGCTAAAGAAAGGGGTTGATGAGATGGCTCAAAGGACCCAGGGGGCAGCACAGAAACGAGGCGACATCCATGTTTTATTTTCATGTTCTCACACACGACCTCGTTCTCTCTAGCTGCTGAGGTTGCCAGACTTCTGGAAGATTGAGTCTCTCTCTTTCTCTCTCTCTCTCTCACACACACACACACACACACACACACACACACAGAGAGAGTACTGAAAAACAACCCCTCTTCCTAGTGTAATAACTTATAAAATGTTCAACTTTTCATTCTCTTCATTATATAACCAGCCCAATGCTTTTCTTGTTTATTGTTGGTCTTTTTTTTTTTTTTTAGAAATTGTTACTCCTACTTCTGTATATGTTGCACTGAAAAGGTTACTATTTAATGTTTTAATTTATTTTGTGTGGTAAATTAATTTTGATTTCTGTGATATGTTCATGTGATTAGCGTTATTTTCCTTAGTATCTGGATTATAGTTATTTAAAGAATAGCGAGAAATATAAAAACATGTTTTTCCAGTAATGTACATCAGTGTTCAGTTGTCCTGTGTGCCTTATTTGGAAGCATGAAAGAGTGAACTTTATTTTCTTCCCCTCCCTGACTGGGTCTTTAATGAGATTGGGATATTGCTGAAGCAAATTTAGATCTCTCTCTACAGAAGGGAGCTCTGAGAACAAATTAGGTGGTCTGGTGCAAAATGTGGAGATCCTAAAATTAGCCATAATTGATCCCTCTCGACTTGAAAAACCAACTTCTCTAATATTCTTTTCAAAACAGAATTATTTCATCTGTGCACCCAGCAATATGCTCACCAATACAGGGGGAAATGTACACACGCTTGGCCCCAAATAATGAAGAGCAGAGTTGGAAGGCAGCCTGATGTGCAGAAAATCACTCTGGGCTATTGGTAGGCAACATACAAATAGTGATGCTGGAAGGCAGAGAGTCAGTCCTATAGTCTGGGTTCTCCCGGTGCCACCCCCAGATGAGGAAACATGTTAGGGAAATTAATCCCCAAGACCTACTCCTCTCTGAGAGTGGGGCCCCAGGATCTCTTTTAACAAGCCCTCTAGAAATTCTAGTACATGCTCAAGTGTAAGGATCATCACTGTTATAAAATTCTTCAAAGGGATCCATTGACATGAGGCTGATGTGAGGGAAAGCCGTACAGAGGCTTTGCAAGAGAAGTGGATCAACACAGAGTCTAATTTAATAACCTTCAGTAAATAAACTAAAAAAAACCCACCCTCCCTGCCATCCAGTCAGGTCTGATTCATTGTGACCCTAGAGGGCAGAGGTAGGGCGGTTTTCAAGGCTGTAAATATGGGAGGGAAAGCCCCATCTTTCCATGTGGAGCAGCTGGGAGCTTTAAAGCTTTGAACTGCTAATGTAGTAGTTAGCAAGCAGCCTGGTGGGTGGCCCACTTGCCGGCGCTGCTCCTTCCGGAAACGGGGCCTTTCCATTGAGAGCCAGCATTTATTCAGATCTTACTTGCTCAGCTTGGTTGAAGAAAATCCAGGCCTACCCCTTGCTTCACCCACCCACCTCCTCCTACCCAACTACACCCAATTTCTAATCCTAAAAAAATGGTGCCAAACAAAAATATCAACCCTGTTTGTAATGCCTCGCTGCGGTTGCGTCCCCGGGGTTCGGTCTGTCTGGACACTGCTTACACACAGGTGGATCCCACAGGTGCCACCAGTAAGGAGTTCCTGAAGAAGCAGCAGAGTGAGGTCAGATGCTGGGTGACCAACCGGAGGTCGTGGTCCCCAGTCTCTGAGGTCTGAGCATGTAGAATCTGTTGTGCAGGTGGGCCCAATGGCCCTCTTCACTCTTGAGTTATTTATCAAACCAGAGGCTTTTCCACCCCACCTTCTCCTCTTCCTGACTTCCAAGCCCTCTTCCTTCTGCCTGCGGGGGCCTGTTCCTACTTCTAGTCAGGTGCACTGGGCTGCAGGGTGGGGCGGAGCCTCTCAGGAGA